AATTTTGAAAATTTTATTGTGGTAATGAATTTTCAAGTGGGCTATAAATATTCTTTTATGATGATGAATTTTTTGGTGGGTTCTAAACATTATATTGTGATAACATTTTGAGGTATGTTGCAAAAGTGGTAAGTTAAAGTCCATTGAAAATTTTATATCTTTATATTCTAATATAGGCTCCCTCTAAATAGAAAGTTGGGTAAAGTATGATTCTTCTTCAACAGACGTGACATCCAAATATACATAAAATGATAAAAGTGTGTGATTGAACAATAAATCCTTGCATTGTTGCTACAAAATCTTTTGTTATACATGTTCCAAATTGAATTTTTATCATATTTAAAACTAGGGTATGATATGATTAACATCAAATTTGATCTTTGATAAAAATAATCAAGCCATTCTAATATAATTATCAATAAATGACATGAATCATCATATCTCATAAATATTAGCGTGTGAGATGGTCTTCAAATATCATTATGAATTAATAAAGATACAACTGAACTTCTTTTATTACTATTAGGACATGTTTCACAAATTTACAAATATTATAGTGTAAATTTTTATATTTTAAATTTATAAACAATAAAGGAAATATAACGTTTAAAATGGAGAATGATGGGTGTCCAAGTCTCTTATGATGGAGGCAAATTTTGTGTATGGAGTCGGTGGTAATGTTCGAGAATGGTCTCCCAAGTGTATTCAAGTAGTAGAATTCGTATCTGGCCTTAACTTCCTGAATTATGATCTTGATAATCACAATTACAAGAATGAAATGTTATTTTGTAGTTTAAGTTATGTGATAATTTATTTACTTATACAAGATTGATGCACAATTTGGGAACATACAACACATTTTATAAGATAATAATATGATTAAACTTAATGTTTCCCTTGCCTGCTATGATATTTAGGGAACCATCGGCAGTGATAATCTTTTTGTTACTTGGACAGAGAACATATATATTAAAAAGTTCATAAATATTTGTCATATAATTAGTGGTTCTTGAGTTTGCAATTCAAGAATTTTCAAAGTGTGTAGTATCTAAGACGTTCATATAGTGTGGAAAAGAAAACATATATAAGAGTTTTATTAACTTGTACTTGTAGGCTTATCAAGATTTTTCAATTAATTTCACAATCTTTCAATCTTGGTCTTAAAAGTAGTAAGATCAGTGGATGAATTTCTTCTTGTCATTAGTTAGGTATATGAATATGTTTAGGAATCTTCTATGTGGTACTTTTATATCCTCATTCTCTACTGGAAGTATTAGACTTGTCATGTAGTTCCCAACACTTTTCTCTGGTATGTCTTGACTTTCTACAAAAAGTACACTAAATATTATCTATAATATTGATTCTCAGAGTTATTGTCTCAGGTAACTTACTTCATTTGATTGTTGGTGGGGTTTAGAATCTCGTGAGATTAGAATTGAAGTATCAATGGAACGAGGTTTGGGCATGACCTTTCTATTGCTTTCTTCTAATGACACAATGGAAATTATATCATTAAGTGATGATATTTGTTCTTTTTGTAATATTTAAATTTGTATTTGATCATATTCTGGATTTATGCCAAAAATTAATATGTACAATATTTTTCTACAACTTTTTAAGATGGGTTGTATCTTTGCTGCAATCCATTATCAAATTATGGTATCAATTCAATTTATATCATAAATTTTTTAACATATTAGAATATTTATTTACTGATATGTGCTCTTATTTTGTAAACTATGTTTTGATTATCATATTGTAAATTTGTATGACGTCTTTGATTTTGGTGTAAGTTTTACCAATTGTATTTCACACTGTCTTTGGTGTGGGAATGAACATTACAGTTTTTCATATCTCTAAAGCCATGGAGTTATAGCATGTCATGATCATAGAATTCTCTTCATCCTAGCCATTAAATGTAAGGTCTCTAGGATTGAATCTGATACCTAAAAGATGTATAAGCTTTCTTTTCCCTTTTAAGGTAGTTTGAATGAATTGAGACCAGCTCATATTATCTTTTCCTATGAATCGATACACAACTTGAATTGATTGAAACTTGTAGTTAAAATTTTTCATAAAGAAATATGCTCAAGTATTTTGATATGTTACCTCTGATATCCTTTAAGAATTAAAAAGTAACTAATTTTTGAAAAAGATCATAATGATTTACCTAGAAAATGTAGTTGCGCGAAGTTATTCATGTCTAGTCACAATGAAGGCGACAAAGAGAGTTATGTGCGTAGGTGTGAGCTTGTGGACTGTTATTGGATGCAAAACTGGATAAAGAAGAGCGTGTCATGAGTCACGATTTGTTACTACTAGTGATGACCAGTAGTTGCAGGGAGCAACAATTGCTTCTAGGGCCAATTATAAAGGTCAGTTGGTGATAAAACTAGTTAGTCTAGTGGTGGTCGATGGTAGGAGGGTGGAGGTTGACCGTGAAGATTGACGTTTTTTAGGTTTTTATTTTAAATAAAAGTTGAATAAAATTTATAAAGGAATTTAGAGATTTTTTAACATAAAACTCTGATATCATATTAAAATAGCATTTTGATTGATATGTATTTCATTTAATATCACAGTTCTATATATATAAGTTTTATAAAACGAAAAAAAAAATATAACAATTGTTTGCGAAAGATAATATCTTTCCTCTTTAACCTAATTTGTTTCCTCTCTAATATCCTAATTTATTTTCTTTCTAACACTTTGATTTGTTTTTCTTTTAACAATATATAACTTCTAAATAAAAAAAATACGTGAAAATACAACTTGACTTTTATCAACGACTTTTTACGAAAAAATAAAGTACTAACTATTAAACTAATCAATTATTGGTGAAAACAAAGTCGTCACATTATTTTTATAATAAGGCTTTGGATTTAGATTTACATACCGTAATAAGTACTACAACACAGCTTCAGGTTTTGAGCGAACTACCTCGAGAAATTTATTCTTTAACAAGTATTAAGTAACATTTGGTAATGAGTGTGAAATGTGAATTCTCATAGTGGATGAAGAAGTGATGCTAGTTGAAGTGAATTGCTTGAGAAAAGAGCAAGGTATGTTTATGCACCACCCCTCTCTCTTTTTCTAGCACTAACGTGTAAAACAGAAATTCAGCTGCTTAAATTTTCTTTCCTCTACCAACTTTCTTTTGCCATAAATAGAAAATGACCACTTACTCCCAACACAAGGAAGGTAACAACTTGTTCTCTTCGTTAATATTATTACCTTTCATATAAATATGTGTGTGTGTGTATAAACATCTGGTGTTGGGTTAAATCTGGGTCCTGATTCTCTCTCATGGGTACATTTGTCTGCTAGCGAAGAAGGAATATAAGAAATACATTATTACTTAACCAAAAACAGAAGTTACAAGTCAAGGAAAAAGCCAAGCCATACAATTCTTTCGTTTTTAATATTATATTTAATATTTATTATTTATTTCAAAAAGAAATTATTTGCTGGAGATCATTATCTCCTTGCTCACTTCAACTAAATAAGCTCTGCAACTAAAGTACTTTAGACTCGTAAATTCTTTAATTCAATGGCTTATTACCAATGGAGTTACCCATCATCTCCCATATTACGTACAAATCTTTGAAATTAAAATATATATATATATATATATATATTACCATCTCCTACAAATTTTACTCTTCATAGTTTGAATTTATTGCAATCACACCTTGTGATTTTATTATTATTATTTTTTTTGTGGGGGTGGGGGGGATATTTGGTTCAATGCTCTATAACGTGAATTTTGTCATTCAAAATGAAACTATTAATTTTAATTCTACCAATAAATAATGATAATAATTCAATCACATGATGCACACGCCATCTTCCCACAGGCTATACTTATATTTAACATATAGGACAGACAAGCACAGCTCAAAACCATGAAAAAACAAATTAAGATCATAGACATATAAATAAGCTGTCGGGTTGTCAGATAAGGAAACTGTTCTTCAAAATCAAGAAGAGATCATTAGGTTAGGTTAGGTTCAGGGCACTGTTATCCAGAGTAGGAAAAAGAAAACCAAATTCAACATAAAAACAAACCCAGAAAACAAGAGTTTGCTTGGTGTACTCAAATAGCTAGCAACAGTGCCGTACAATTTAGGGGAATGTTAAGGATAAAGCAATTCTCAGAGAGAGATGAACCTGAGACTGTCAGAGAGAAGTGCTGTTGATCTGGACCACAAGAAAATTCCAAAACCAATTCTTTCTAAAGAAGGGATGGAAAGGAGCAACCTTCACGTACTTGACTTTTTCTGCAACATCATCTTCTCGCGTTGATGTTGAGTCAAGGCCATGAAGCCAATCAATCCACCCCCTTCCTAATTTATAAATTGCATACCAATCTAGCTGGTTCCTAATCTGGATAAGAAAAAAAAACAAATGAACGAAAATGTTTCAGAAATCGTTAAAATTGATTCATATGGTTACTGGGTCCATTTCCCACAACCATCCTGCAGTTTTGAAGTTGGACATTGATGTGGATGTGATCTAAGTACTTCCATCAAAATAGCTGGTAAGTGGTCCATCGCTCATAATCAGCCAGTTCAGGCGCTGGCATTGATGGCAATAGAAATCTAGAAAAATATGCCCAGCAGCAATCTACAATCTACATTTCAACGATGCAGAATAGAAATAAAAACTAACTTGCAGAAGAATCTTAAAAAGATTAATAAGTGTAGTTCAGAATGGAACCAATGAGAATGAACATTCCATCTGATGTAGATAAAGTTATCTTACAAACAAATAACAAAATTGATCTAAATTACAGTAAATATAAGAATGATCAATGAATTCTTTCAATTATACAATTGCATCCCATTATGAGGTAAGCTATATCTCAAAGAATACTAAGCTAAGCTAGAAGAAATACAGTTTATTGCTTTTGAGAACTGAAGGTACAGAGATATACTATAGAGCAAACAGAATCAATGAGAAACAAACTTTAAAACCAGATAGGCCTAAACTTGTTAGTACCTAATTCTCTTTATGCATTATCTCCACCTAGCTGGCTGATGATGGCCCCTACTACTATCCCCTTCACTTGTATCAGAAGATAGATGGTCCAGTCGTTTATTATCTAACTTTGGAACAGTATGGCTTGCCTGTTGATCATTGCAATGGGAATTGGACGGTTCTCTCCCAATTCGACGCTCCTGCAAGTTCAGCGGAGCATAAGTCATATGGCAATTGTAGAAGTTAACACAATAACTCCACATGCTAATCGGTAAATTGTTGGTCTATATTTTAAAAGAAAATATTACTTACATCACGAAATAGCAAGTCATCTGCCTCAAGCATGTGGATAACATGTCCCATCTTAGGCCTCTTTGTTGCATCAGGATCCACACACCGTAGTGCAACCAATAGGACACGTTTAAGTGCCTTTGAAGCAGGCATCTCTGGCAACTTCGGATCAACTACTTCCTCAGATTTTCGGTTTCCAACCATAGTTTTTAACCAGTCCACCAAATTCACCTGAAATTTTGTCCTCATTCCCAGGTTAGTCAATAAGTAAGAAGAACTCTAATGTTACTATAATTTAAGGAACAAGATTCAGAAGGGTTATTTTGCAAATGTTTTCAGAAGGAATCATTCAGCATGTGGCAGAAACTAACCTCTCCTTGTGGTCGACTATAATCTACAGGGTTTCTTCCAGAAATGATTTCCATGATAAGTATGCCAAAGCTATAGACATCACTCTTTTCATTCAGCATTCCAGTGCAAGCATATTCTGGAGCAACATAACTAGGAAATCATAAAAAAAGGTTACTTTCTAGCTTTTTTTGGTAAAAAAAATTACTATGTATTAACCACGTTAAATATGAATTGAGAAAGAATGAACCAACCCAAAAGTTCCCATCACCCGAGTTGTCACGTAACTCCTCTCAGAACACAAAAGTTTAGCAAGTCCAAAATCAGAGACCTTAGGGTGCCAGTGGCGATCAAGTAATATGTTGCTAGATTTAACGTCCCGATGGACAACCTTCGGTTCAAGACCCTCATGCAGGTAGGCTAATCTGCAATCATAACATAGCACATAAACAAGGTTAGCACAAAAAAAAAATTGGTAGATATGAATGATGAAACTAATGACTAAATTATTTTTATACCCTTTAGCTGTTCCCAATATGACATTTATACGTACGTCCCAAGTGAGAGGGCTGACTTCCCCAACATCACCATGTAGCCACTGGTCCAAATTGCCATTATCCACGTATTCATACACAAGCATCCTACAAAACGAAGGTAAGTGAGAATTTACCTCTGTAGTTCCCAACAGAAAACACAACCTAATTCTTAAATTAAGATGACTTGCACACCTGTATGCACCTTCAACACAATAGCCAAGCAACCGGACCAGATTCTTGTGTCGTACTCGGCCAATTACTTCTACCTCCACTTTAAATTCCCTCTCAGCTTGACCCCTAAAAGTTTATGTTGTCATGACACTTGTAGAAAAATACAACGATGACATGAAATTCTCCACTGAATTATATCAAGAATTATATCCACCGAAACAAGGAGAGAGAATTGACAAAAGCTACTAATCAAATAAAGAAAGACATTTACTCGGAACTATAGTGAAAGGATATTAAATTGGAATCCGTTCTTTCGCATTTAAGGCAAGCCAACCCAGAAACTTTTAATACAAAGATTCAAATCATAATGGAAGATAATGTGGACTCGCACATAATCCAAGTTCACCAAAAACCACCTTCATTTTCTTGCCTAAACAAAAACCAAAACTAGTGAGTTGAAGACTTCCCAAAATGCAAGACAAACAAAATTACAATCTGCTTCCGCTGTGCTGAAGTACCGGAGACCCAGTTGCTGAAAAGAGATAGAGATTCTCGAAACAAGACCCAAGCAACAGCAATAGGATTGTATCCAGATAAAAAAAAAAAAAACAGTAAGAACATAAATTAAAAGCTCATTCTGCTCTCTTCTTCCATCAACCAATGAGACAGAACCACCCTCTTGAAATGTCAATCTAATACTTCAAAATCAATCAATCAAACAATTGTAAAAAGAAAGTGCATATAACAAGTATACATAAACATATAGATTAAATAACGAAGGTAAAAAAGTGAAGTTTAAAACCGTTACCTGTTATTCAACAAATTCTTGACAGCAACTCGAGTCCCATCAGCCAAAACACCACTGTACACAAT